CGTAATCAAATTGTTAAATGTGACTTTAGCTTGGCCTGATGGAGACTGCGCTCCCTCGCATTCATTATGAATTTTACGAATTTGGGTCACTCCATTTTTTCCTGTTTGCACGATTGTAGTGCAACATTTTGACCAGAAGATGGCAGCAATTTGACAGTTCAATTACAGGACATTGATCATTTTTTTCCCCAAATGCAATACACCCATAATGTAAATAAATGATAGAGAGCCTACTGCTCACGCTGAAGGTAACGCCTTCATCTGGATACGACGTTTTTAGTGGGAGAAACGTTAAACTCATCCAAGTGACTTCTTTAGTCTCAGCTGAATGCAGATGTCCACTACCTTATAAACAGGCCATTTGCATAATGACTTGAACTAGCACCACTGCATGCATCTTTAAATGAGGTTTTTGATTATGAAAAATTATAGATAAGTTGGCTCAGACACTAAACTCAAAAGCAATAACATTGAAAAATATTATAAGTAAAACAGAATATTTTAATTGGATGGCATGTTGTCATTTACAGAGGGAAGTGTAAGAATCCACACAGTGTGGCATTTCCATACAATGCAAAGCTCTTGAAGAAGTACAATCTTCATGATTTCACAGAGAAACAGCTGTTCCAGCTGTTACTGCAGAACGATCCTTATCTGCTTCCTGAGGTATGTTTTAGCGGTTTGCACTTGGAGGCAATTGTGGAGATTGTCTTGTTCTTCTGTTGAAACTATGTGAACTTCATCCTCCTTTATGATTCCTTTTAGATATGCTCGCATTACAACAAGGGCAACGGTCAGCACGGCTCATGTAAATTCACCACCTCGTGCACAAAGCTCCACGTCTGCCAGCATTTTTTCCAGGGTGACTGCAAATTTGGCTCTTCGTGCAAAAGACAGCATGGCCTCAATGGACCTGCGATGAAGCTCTTCCGAGGATTCAGTCGTGAGAATATTAAAAACCTTCACAAGATCTACAGAAATAAATGTATCATCATGGGTCAACAGGAGAGGCAGGGTACTGGTGTCACTGGTAAAGCAGATTTTATAAAAACATGTCTTGCACAGATTTTTGTCAATCAGCAAGACCGGTAATCTACACAATATAAATGTGTCTCTTCTGTAGTGCTAACAGAGGTAAGACCCTCAACTCAGAAGCCTCAGCAGTCTTCCCAGCAGTCTTCCCACAGCAATCCTGGATCCCCAACCAGTTCTGTTTGTCCATCTAAGCCACCGAGCAATGCTGACACGAATGAAATCTGCCTTTATTTCATTCGCAGACATTGCGGGTTCAAAGGTAATGATCAGGATGATGGAAGCTGCCTTTCATATCTACAATACAGTAACATCTCAATACGTATAGGTCTATGTCCATATGTGCACCGCCTAATAAATGAATGCCTGGTGTGTGTTTTTCATAGACAAGTGTGCACGTGTCCACTGGCATCTGCCCTACAGATGGCAGGTTTTAGACACTGATGGTGTAACCTGGAAGGACTTGCCCACTATGGAGGAAATTGAAAAGGCATACTGTGACCCAGCAAAAGAGACGAGCTGCATGGATCAACCTTCGTCCAGCTTAGGGCTTTTCAGATTTCTGTCTCTTCAAAGGTACGTGAAGAAACAGAACACACAGATGTACTGTTTGTGGTGCATCTGCAGTAAAAGATTAAATGCATATTACTGTTATTCACATGAGCTCAGGTCTATAGATTTCCATTAATTTTGATGGAATTGACGTCCCTCTTAGCTCTTCATCCCCTAGTGAGCAGTCGGTGGACTTCAGGACCATGAGATATGGAAACTCTCCAGTTCGTCGCCTGTCCACTGCCTCCTCTGTCTCAAAGCCCCCTCACTTCATTCTCACTACACAGTGGGTCTGGTACTGGAAGGACGATGGTGGGAAATGGTTGGAATATGGAAAGGTGACTTATTGTGATTCTTTCAATGAGTATGAAGA